CCGTACCAGCCTGAAGTGAATAGCCGAACAGTGTTCGGCTCACTTCACTTCTGATCGGTCATTCACTCGGCTGCCCTCGGCAGCTTTGTGAATAGACCCCATAGTGTTTACTTGTCACTAAAGCTGGGTAAATGTTAGGGATGCACTGATACCAGTTTTTCCGTATCGTGTACAAGTACTGATATTTTTTATCGGTACTCGCCGATACCGAAAGTACCATTAACCACTTCAAGACCAGGTGTTTAGACCCCCTTCCTGGCCAGGCCACAGTGATTATCACTCCGACGTTCGCGGGGATATGTAACATGTGCGGCGTAATGGGTGCAAGCGTCTTTCTTGCACGTATGCGCCCCCGACGCATGTTTGCATGCGTGTATGTATGGGTGGGGGACTTTAAACATTTTTTATTTCTTTTTAAATTCTTTTTTGGGGGGGACTTTTTTTCCCCTTTTTTTTCCCCTTTTTTTTCCCCTTTTTTTCCCACTAAACTTTATTGCTATCACATACGGGGGCTATGTGACAGGTCCTCTTTATGGAGACATGAGGGGTCTCCAAGACCCCTAATGTCACCTAGGACCCCCAAAAGAAGCTGATGAAGCACAGATCTGCTCCATCAGCTTCTTTGCAGCTTCTGAAGCTGGAGAGTGACACAAGAATGCGGAAGTGATGTAATATACAACACTTCCGCATTCTTTCAGAGGAGAGGGCGGATCGCTTGTATGTTAACAGGCATCGCTGCCTGTTTTTAAATTGTGGCCATTTCCCGCTCTCAGGCGTGCCCAGTGTTGTGCGCGTGGGGGCGTGTCTGAGCGGATGTCTAAAGACGCCCGCTCAGATCTAGAGAGCTCCCGTCTGGCCGTTTTTCTACTACGGCCGGCCCGGAGGCAGTTTAGGAAGCCGTGCAGCGTGTAATGACTTGCTGCCCGGATTCCTGATCAGCTGGGAAGCCAGGCGGCGTGTAATTACTCGCTCCACGGCTTACGGATTAGCCGGGAAGCCGTGTTGATACTCCCTTGTCACCAGGTGACGAGGAAGCATGGAACTGGCTTTCTAGCCAGTCAGGAAGCCGGGGGCAAGTAATGATTCTCCGCCTGGCTTCCTGATTGGCCTGCTTCCAAAGATATCAGGAAGCTGGGTGGTGAGAGAGCGCGAAGAGAGACATCCAGGGGAGAGAGCAAGGAGAGACAGCCAGGAGAGCGAAAAGAGACAGCCAGGAGAGAAAACGAGGAATGACAGCTAGGACAGAGAGCGCGAGGAAAGACAGCCAGGAGAGAGAGGAGAGACAGCCAGGAGTTTTTTTTCTCTCTTTGGTAGATCTCATTTGAAAAGTAGATCTTAACACAAAAATTGTGGGCACCCCTGCTCTAGACCTATTGCAGTGGAGTCGGAGGTCTGCTTGTCCTGTCTAGTACTGATGACACAAAAGGGGCTATGCAGGATTAAAAAAATAGATTACACAGGATATATAAAGTATATATATATATATATATAGTATATACAGTATACAGTATTTGTATTAGCTGCGTGTTAACTTAAGTTTAAACAAATACAGTTGATTTCCCGACTTTAACATAGTTGCTGCCTTAGAAGGTGTCTAAAACTTGTTTACATGTGGAGTTCCCTTTTAACTCACCTCTCCAGAATGTTTGTAGGAGCTCCTCCAATATAAATGTCAGTAAATGGAATTGATGTCTTATCATTGTCAACACTCTTCACATGTTTCCTGTCAACCACCAAGATCATCTTCTTGGAATTGTGATAAATGACAGAGATCTGGGAAATGTAAATTGGCAGTAAAGTCTATAATCAAGCTGTGAGCCTCATTTGTACAAATTATCAACATATTTTTCAAATGAACATGTTGCCCTATAAACAAATAAATATTCTGTATTCTTGATGGTTAAAACCACATACGCAGGGTATATTTCCCAAACTTATATACATTTTAACCAACAGATATTTCACATTTGTTGACTGCCTCTGGCAAGTATACAAATCATGAAAGTCAGAGTGAAACCAGACATCCTAATCTGCAAACTTGTTGCAGGTCACAGAAAGTAAATCAGTGTCTGTTACTGGCCACTGAAGCATTAAAATACTACAGATACAAAACATACCTCATGAAATCTTGCATCATTGATCTGAGCTTTTTTCATTGAGTCATCCAGGAGCACGGGACCTTTACTAAAGCCAAAGTCGTACAGAAGGCGCAGGTAGCCATCTTGGATTTCCAAGCTAAAGAATTTTGTCTGGGGAATAATGAGTGTATAATGATTACCGTATATTGCATGGCTATGAAGCATTATATTCAGTGTGGGAATTAATCCACAAAGTTAGAAATGTTTTTCCATTGTGATAATCCAGCTTTGAAAACAAGGACTGTACTTACGCCATTAACCATTAAGAAAACAAGAGCATTGTCTACAGGTGTTCGGACTTCAATATCAAATCGGGTAACTTGGGTAAAGCGCCCCCTTCTTTCTATGTTGCGTATTACAGCATAACCAGTGCCATCAAAGAAGTAGGATGCTGCCCGACTTTGAGTGAACGCCAGCTTATTTCTAAGACAGATAAAAGGACATAGTGTGTATCATACTGTATTCTCTTTTTTACATAAACATTCAATTTTAGCGTATTAGCAAATCATGTATTGGTGCTGTTGATGGAGATACACACTCAGTACCAAATGGTTAAAGAAACACACACTGAGCCTACCATTGGTGACCTGCCTCTGAAAATGCCAGTTGCCTGACTAACAATTATTAAAGTCAGGAAAGTCAGTTTGAAATCAGACTACACAGTTACATGATGATTTGTATATTAACCCTTTCACCCCTTTATCCTGCACATCTATACGTTAGCCCCTCCATCTCCATCCTCCCACTGTATGTGACCTGTGCAACTAAATTAACCCCTTCAACTACTCCTCCCTCTGTCTATGACCTGTACATTTATTGTAGCTTGTGAACTATTACCAGCCCCATGTTTTAACCCCCTCAGAACCGGCATGTTTCTTCATATCCAAAAAATTGCAGCAAAAAAATCAGATCATCTTGGGGTGTCTACTTTTTGGGGGGTTTTTGTTCTGTTTTGACATTTTTATTTGCTATGTTTTGCTAACAAAAGGACACATTTTTTGGTCTTTTTTACTTTGTATAGTTAACAAACAAAAAGCCACTAAAAATACCAGTAAAAAAAACTCTATTTGTCCCCAGAAATTCTAAAAAAAAATAATGTAGTTGCAGTGTTGTGTAATGGGGGAATTCTCAAACAAACTTGCCTAGCGCAGCACTGAGAATTGAAAAATGGCCCGGTAATGAAGGGGGTGTAACACGCAGGTACTGAAGTGGGTAAGTCCAAGAAGGTTATTAAGTAGATATAAAAAAATAAAATAAATAAAAAAAAGTTTTTTTCAGAGTTGAGATTACTAGTTAACAAGCTATTGTTTATTTTCTATAGCATTAATTTTTTAAAGGTTTTAAATGCTATTTTGATTGCCATTTAATAGCCAACAAAGTACTCTGATCAATCTAAGCTCCAAAAGAACCACAAGATGAGACATATACTTGTTGCTTTTGTGTTGGAGCTCTGGAATGATATAAAATGCCATATAAATGTATTAATTTATAAGTGTTAGTAATGAAAATTATGTAGAGAGTGGCAGAGCTGTGAACTTAACAGTAGGAATGACTTTGTGAAATGCAGTTCAGTTTATTTCGTGATATTTTCTTTACCTCACACAAGGTGGCACTGTGGCTGTATTGATGTTATGGATGTTATGGAAATTATATAAGCTGACAATATCATCATTTACAGCAGCCAGTTCCAGACAGCCAACAAAGCCAGGTAGGTTCAAACTGGCCGGGAGCTGAAGAAAACAAATCACCAGTAAGCAAATGTAAATCAAACACAAGCAAGGTTTGGCACATATCCTGCCGAGATGCTAGCTGCAAACAAATGTGCCAAGTTCTCTGTTTCTGAGTGACCTCTACGAGAACATAGCTGCCAGACCCATCTTGTCTTATCGATAAAGACATTTTTTTAATCAAAATCATTATTTCTCAGTTTCTGAATCCTGTTAGTTATAGTTTATACATCATTAATTTAATGCCATGTACCATAGCATCCTTATTGTGGTACCCATGATATGACAGTTAAATGAACTTTGCTGGTTGGGCTACAAGTATACACTGCACTGTATCAGCAGTTGGTCTAATAGCTATTTCTAGGATTTTTTTCTGAACCTGTGCCATGGTTTGTAGACAGTGGGAAGGGAATTTATTAAAACTGGAGCAGGCATGAACTTCTCTCTTTCTTTTTCAAATATTAACTGAACAAACTGAAGAGAGAAGATGATTGGTTGCCATGCACATCTGTTCCAGATTTTGTCTGCTCAAGTTTTGATAAATACCCTCCTGGAAGTATTAGATCAGCAATGAAAAGGATGTAAAATGTACATTACAAACAGGGAAATGTATTAAAAGTGGAGCAGACAGAATCTGCAGCGGTTCTCCATGGCAACCAATGAGCTTCTCTTTCCAGTTTGTCCAGTTAAAATTTGAAAACTGTACGCATTGAAGTTAATGACAGGGTGACAGCGGGCGTATCTCTCAGAGGCAGTCCGCATCTAATCAAACATAGTACGATTAAATGCGGTTTGGGATAGATGATTGTCCCTGGTGACATCTATCCTGCGTCCCGACACAATCATCTATTCCAAACTGCAGGGACCTACAGATTCCCAGAAGTCCCTGTGTGAGTGGGGCCTAAGGTTTTCACAGGAAAATATGTATGGTGTACGCGCATTAATCCAGCACATGTAGAGAAGAGTTTATAATAACAAAATGGCTTTTGTTCATTTTGCGACAATTTCAGAAACCTCAACAAAGTGGAGGTCCAGGTGCCCGCTAAATGATACAAATATTACCAGCTTTTGTCTGTTTGCTGTTTGCAGTTATTTACTTGGCAAAACAGAGATGTGCCTGATAAAGCCATCCCTGTTGGCACCACCCAGCTTAACAAAAGTTGATTATTCAATCAAATTTTGACAAAAGAGCCAGGTGGAAAATTGTGAGCGGAGCAATGACTGCAGTTAATAAGCGGAAGTGACTGTTCCAGTATTCTGACAGCATGCCACAATACAACAGCCCATAGGTGAGATTCATCCATTTGTGTTGTTTAGCATGGATAGAGGAATCTGTTAGATTTGTATCGTATAATAAGTCAATATCTGTATGGCCAGGTTTAGTGTCTGACAGTTAGCGATTGACAAATGAAGGAAAGGGGACTCGGTTACATTTCATAAAGCAGGCATGTCCCACTGGGGCTTTTTTTTTAGTGCTGCATGTGTCCGTACTGGGGCGATTCACTCTTTCTATGGGATTGATTTACTAAAGGCATTTAAGATTGACATTGCAAGGGAATTTGCACTTTTTTTGCACTTTGATATTGAATTTTTCCTTAGCCTACTGAATGTGGTGAAAATTTACTTTGCAAAAAAAAGCAAGGAAAATAAATTTAAAAAAAAAGTATTTTTGCTTGTAGATGATTGGATGATGGAAGTTAGCAGAGCTTCACTCAATTCTCTATACTATGCTTCTCTTGAAATTAAAAGTTTAAAGAGAAAATTCCCTCGCAAGGTGAACAGCCTACTTTTCCTTTATTAAATCAGCCCCCATATTTCCCGCTGTCGATTGTCACTGCATAAGTAATCGATGGCAAATGCAAAATGTATGGTTGTCATTGGAACAAGGATAGACGGGCAATCTTTCAATGGAGACACCTGTTTTGGTGGAATTTATCCTCACTTTGGAAAGTTTTGCTCCACTTCCCGTCTCCCCATGGAACAAAAAAACAAAACACTGTTTTAAACTGTTCTACTCTACCCCCCAAAAACGTTCAAGCTTTAGATTACTGTACATCTTTTGTCCTAAATTGTAGAACAACATAAAGGAATAGCAAAAATAAGCAGTCCCTCAAATATTACCTTAAATCTTTCAGGCACACCACCAACATAGAATACAGTATTGTCAGGGTCCAGATCCAGAAGTGAGTCACTGCCGGAAGCCTCACTCTTCTTAATGAATTTTTCCTCTGTTGCACCAGTCTGACTAGGTACAGTTAGAAGTACTTTTCCATGTCGTCCCAACCTGGAAAAAAAATGTCAGAAAACATTGTTATCTTACTTATATTCCTGCAGCATGCGCACAAAGCATTGTACCTATATTTATTATCTAGATACATATGTAATCATTACTCTTTCCCTTTTGTTCCTTGTCAGATTCAAGTTTGTATATTTTGAATATTTGACTTTTAATATTAAACTGCCCACATTGCCTTAAAGAGACCCCGTCACCAACTTAAGAAATTGCAGGTGGGGCACAGAAAATCAAGTATTTAAAATGCCTACTTGCAGTTTTTTCTATTCTATAAATTATTTTTATGCTTTCGCTAGAAAATGTGACCACTCCAGCTAGAGTCAATTACCTAGCACAGCCCTCTCCCTCCTTGCACGTCATGTCCCTCTCCTCTTCTGGAAGTGTCTAATTACTCTCTGTGCTGGCCCAGCTTCTCCGGCCATCCCTACATAACCTTTTATGTTGCTGGCAGGGAGGAACGAAGGGGAGTACTTGGGCGACAGCTGCTGGGGCTGCTAAGAACACATCCAGGATGGCAGCACTCAGCAGCAATCACAGGGATTTTAGTAGCCTACACAAGTGAGGCTTTTACAGGAAAATAACATGCACTAAATATGTTAATTGCACATATAATCATATGGTAAGAGTTTTGGTGAAATTATTAATCTGGCAACAGGGTCTCTTTAATTCTGATGTCAATATATTATAGGATGACTTATCACCAAGTGTACCTGAAGTTGCAATCCAGTTCTAGTGAACTTGGTTTTTTCTTGCATTAGCCAGGGCAAGTTTACTCCACGTGATCACACCTAGTGTGCTTTTATTTTGGATCTCTTGAACTAGGAGCAAGGAACACATAACATATGTGCAGTGAACTGATCTAGCTGCATCTGTCCCTGTCTACTGTAACAGCTGTATTTACATGTTTCTGCCTTGCAGCGAAAATATGTGTAGTGCACTTAGAAAGGAATGAAACTCAATTACCTTTCTATTTTCACAAGGCTAAAATATTCTGGCCATGTACTGATGGGCTTGGAGTCCAGGGGAATTTCCACATCTCCACTTCCCAAGTTGTATATGTAAACCAGGTTATTGCGCTTAATAGCGAGACCCATGTAATCTGATTTGGCCTAGAAAGAGAAAGAAAAATGTGAATGGTTCTTGTTTATATATTTTAATGATTTGCAGATTAAATACAACTGTGCTATTCTACTTGAAACTCTATGTTGTGAGAAGCACCATTGGATCAGTGGCAGGCACTCACATTTAGCTTACCGGAAAGCAAAAACTGGGCTGTTTGGTAGCACCATACCATGATTATCTTCTGCATGTCATAACTCTTCTGTCACTAGTATTGGACTATTTCTTTAAACAAGCTGAGGAACAATAATAATGGTAGAGGGAACCAGTAGCCTGTAAATTATGATAACACAGAGTATCGAGTAGAAGCTGCTTTCTGCTTACCCTCAAAAAGTCCAGCATTTTCTTTTAAATGACACAATCCTACCTTAATGACTGTGAGACAAGGTGGGACAACACAAGGGGAAATGTATGGGCATGCAAAGAAGAATGGGAATACCTAGTTGGTATCATCAAAACCGAAAAAACAAACAAAAAAAAAAAACAGAAGGTTGTAAGGGTTTCTGGAGGGGTGTAAATGACCGTCCAAGATGTATCCTCTGCAGGGATTTGATTTTTAATAAGTTCAATTGAATCATGTATGTAACCAATTAAGTATTTAATAGTAATAAATTGTATATTGTTTTTATATATCTCTCTTGGACGGTCATTTACACCCCTCCAGAAACCCTTACAACCTTCTGTTTTTTTTTTTTCGATTTATGCAATTAGGGGGAGAGGTGTAAAACTAGGCATACACAGGGGGACTACCCACAATTTAGCAATGGTATCATCAAAACATTAAAATAGTTCAAAATGTTTGGTGTGAACTGATGAAAGTTCACCCATTTCCTCCTCTTCTGCATTTTCTTTGCACATACACATTTTTGTGGGTAAGGTAAGTCTAAGGTAAGTGGTATTTTTATTTTTTTCCTGTAATAAGACAGATGGGTAATTAAAAATAGTTTTCCTTATGTAAAGTTTAACATACCTCACACTGTACCTTTAACTTGGTGTTGTTTCACCACATGCATTTGTTAACGTACCTCTTAATTATGTAGTAGATGTAAATTCTAGTAGACAAGACATTTGGTGGGATCACCTTTAGTATCACCTTTGCATGCAGTTCTACTAATTGGTATACAGAGTTGCTGCATAAGTATGCATAATCAAATTTGGAAACTTATGTTTGTTTCTCTGCACGGTGGCCAGAGCAGTACATTATTTTACCTGTTATTTATATATTTTAAAATAATTTCTTACATTTTTATGTCCAAGGTACATAATAAATCTGTCTTGAGGCTGTTGTTGGTGTGCTTCTGGATTAATGTATAGACTCATAGATGAGTAGGCCTTTAGGTCAGCAAGGTTTGTTTTCAGATTGACATTAACTGCTGATTTACCTCTAAACTTCATTGATACTTGAACCTGGGAAGAAAAATGAAGATAATTGCTGTTTATTAAGGAACTGTGCATAATAAAACATTTGGCTTCCACAGAGAATCTAACAAACAAATTAAGCATTGGATACATTTACTAAATGAGAATGCGCTGTTAGGGGTCCTTTTAAAAAGCAGCGATATAGCTTACCGCAGCCAAACTACTGCTTTATAAAGAAACTCTGGTACATTTATGAAGCACAGCAATTTTTTTTGAATTTAATTTAGAATTAGGATACCAAAGCCAGTGGAGAGCTTGTGATGATCTAAAAGTTGATATATATATTGGAAAGATGTAATATCAAACATATTGGTAGATTTGTTGTAAAAGAAGGTTAAAAGAATAATTCTGAAATGGCCCCATACCTTACTGGCCACACTTCTTGTCTGGGCAATGAGCTCACGGATACGGAGAATACTGGACGAAATGTTGTTTGATGGAAAGTTGTGTTCTACAGTGCGCAGTTTAGTCAGCAGTAGTGGCATTACCTCTGTCAGGTTCTTCACTGCATTGTCAAGTGAATGGCATGGGAAATGAGAGTGATACAACAATGCTATGTTATAAAGCACACATACAAAACCAAAGTGAACCAAATAATTTTTTCAAAATAAATCATTGATTATTTGGTCAATAAACCAGTTTGTACTCTTGGATCTATTAATCAAAATAGCAGTTTGATTTTGCCTCCCTTACCTCTAAATTCCCCACTATCATCATAAAAAATACGTCTAGAGATTTGTGATATGGAAGTGCAGTATGGAATGGCAAAAAGTAGTCAGATTGGTAAAAGAATAGGCAAAGTATGGTGAAAATGCATAAAATGTCACTCCCTTGAGCATAGAATTTAAGCTTGCCTCCACTGAAAACAATGGATTACAAATAGTTTAGGGTAGTATACATTCTCAGTGAATTTTTCAAAAACCCCAAAGGAATTCTTTTAAAGGAGGTCTGCGGGCAGAGTAAAATGCACTCTTCCCCATAGTTAGAGTCAATGGGGGTGATTTACTAACCTAAACACACGCACCCACTAGGTGCGTGTGATTTTTACACAGCAAAACGTATTTATCAACCAAAAAGTCTCTAAAAGCATATTTCCACTAATGCCATATATGGAAAAACCATGCACATGATGCATATATAATACTGCTTCACAGTTTAGACAAAAATGGTTAGCTCATGCATTTACATTCCTGCATTCATCAACGCAAGCAACACAATGTAGAGCTAATTTACACAACATCACCTTGCAATTCATGCAAGGCTTTGCACAACACACCTGCTGAGTGTGTACACACTACAAAGGTGACTAGATTCCACCAATAGATCATGCTGGGAGGGAACACACTACAGAGGTGTATACTTGTTTGTGGCGTGTTTATAAGGTTAGTAAATCAACCCCAATGTGTGATACTGCACCTGTCACACATCGGCTCTATGGATCGAGAACTGAGCAATCAGAAACCGCTGATCACTCAGTTCACAATCTTCTCCCTGCAGAGAGCCTATCTGTCACCACTCCCCACAGGCATATCCCTTCTGTTCCTCCAGTGCTGACTGGAGGGACAGACAGGGGAAGCGATAGGCACAGCTGGTTCTTCCTCTAGAGAGGCAGAGCCAGCTGTCAATCGGTTAGTGGGGTGGATCCCAACAATATTTGCACGTGTGTACATTGTGCATCATCATTGTGCATATTAAGTGAGTTTGTCATATGTGAGTTTGTCATATGTCAATCTTTTCTTTTATACATACTAATTACCTAAATTGTTCAAATATTAGAGATTATTGGCTCAAGCATAATGTGCAGGAAGACCATTGCTTACCTGATTCTCCAGCTGCATTTACAACTGAGTTGTAAGCAGAAGCATCAAAACCCGAACTGCTAAGGTCTTCTTTCCACATGTTTGCATTTTTTGTCATTGGGTCAGTCATCTCAGTCACCATGGCAGAAATATTTAGAGCTTTATCTGCCATTAGTTTTGACTTTTCAAGACGTTTTCTGGTTTCATCTGTGTGAAAAGTGCAAATAATGAAATTACATATCTGGAATTTGGATTAATGCAGAGAATAGTTGAAAGGTTTCACTGCCTTAGACCACTGAAAGACGCAACCAGGTTAAGTTGGCCATTCGCTCGTTGTGTTTTCTCGGGCAGCCCCATAGGCTACAGTCGTTGTTTTGGCCTAGAATTTTCGGACCTACTCCATCTGCAAAAGTCGACTGAAAAAATGGCCTTTGTGGAAAGAAGGGGGGCTGAAGGTGCAGCACTCTGTTTGAATGTCAGCAATGTCAGGAGTGCAATGTCTTTACACTGGTAATAGTTTTTAATGAAGAATTATTGTACGTGTAAATTGTATCTGCTTCTACATCTTCTTATACTTAGCTCTTCAGCTTCCCAGCAGGACATACTTTTCATCAGTTTCTTTTGTTAGAACAATGCAAGCCCAGCACATTTAGAACAGACAATTTTAGGCATATCATTACAATACATAAAGAAAATGAAAGCAACAACTATCAATCAGTTTATCCTTCACAAATTATATTTTGAGAGAAAAGAGAAGTTTATGGGTCTTGTTCGCACCAAACTGTTGTGCTGTTTGTCTTTAAAAAAAGTGCATGCATCAGTTTTGGACCAATGACCTCAATTTTCCTAACTGAATGAGATCTCTTGCCAGTGATGTGCAAGGAAAATGAAAGACGAAACCGGACTTTTAAATGCAGATGATTGTATGACTGATGAGAACACAGCTTTAACTTACTAAGATAAGTCAACATTAATTTGGAAAGTGAATACTCTGCATTAATTTAGTAAGTGAACATAGTTGTGTGAACATTACACTTCCATTAAGCCATTAAGAATTAAAGAAGGAGTACTGCATATGCTTGATGTTTAGCAGAAACACATACACTATATTGCCAAAAGTATTGGGACACTCCTCTAAATCATTCGATTCAGGTGTTCTGTGAAATTTCCTTGCTACTAAATATTCAACGGTCAACTGTTAGTGGTATTATAACAAAGTGGAAGCAACTGGGAACAACAGTAACGAAGTGGTAGGCCACATAAAATGACAGAGCGGGGTCAGCGCATGCTGAAACGCACAGTGTGCAGAAGTCGCCAAATGTCTGCAGAGTCAATAGCTACAGACCTCCAAACTTCATGTGGCCTTCATATTGGTGCAACAACAGTGCATAGAGAGCTTCATGGAATGGATTTCCATGGCCGAGCAGCTGCATCCAAGTCTTACATCACCAAGTGCAATGCAAAGCGTCGGATGCAGTGGTGTAAAGCACGCCGTCACTGGACTCTAGAGAAGTGGAGATGTGTTCTCTGGAGTGACGAATCACGCTTCTCTGTCTGGCAATCCGATGGACGTGTCTGGGTTTGGCGGTTGCCAGGAGAACGGTACTTGCCTGACTGCATTGTGCCAAGTGTAAAATTTGGTGGAGGGGGGATTATGTTGTAGGGTTGTGTTTCAGGGGTTGGGTTTGGCCATTTAGTTCCAGTGAAGGAAACTCTAAATGCATCAGCATACCAAGACATTTTAGACAATTTCATGCTCCCAACTTTGTGGGAACAGTTTGGTGACGGCCCCTTCCTCTTCCAACATGACTGCGCACCAGTGCACAAAGCAAGGTCCATAAAGACATGGATGAGTGAGTTTGGGGTGGAGATACTTGACTGGCCTGCACAGAGTCCTGACCTCAACCCGATAGAACACCTTTGGGATGAATGAGAGCGGAGACTGCGAGCCCGGCCTTCTCGTCCAAAATCATTACCTAACCTCAAAATGCGCTTCTGGAAGAATGGTCAAACATTCCCATAGACACGAGTTACAGAAGAGTTGAAGCTGTTATAGTGGCAAAGGGTGGGCCAATACAATATTGAACCCTACGGAATAATACTGGGATGCCATTAGAGTTCATGTGCGTGTAAAGGCATGCACCCCAATACTTTTGGCAATGTAGTGTATAAATATATGAATCTATTTTAAAACAGTTAAAGTGTCAGATGAGTTCTGCTTACCATCCTCTGTTAGTTGAAGTTTAGCAATAATGTTTGCCAGCGTGTCATTCAAGGATGATTTTCTAGCAGTACCAGCATCAACCCGTTTTCTGGTCTCAGTTAAACCTAAATGACAAGATTTTGTGAAATGAACAGAACAATCACAACGCACTATTTCACTTGATGTTTTCAACAACAGCAACGCGTTAGATTACCTATCTTGTTCTGATCTAAGCACTTCATAAAGAGAGGAATATTGTATGCTACTTAAATTGCATTGCTAATGAGAGCATGTTCTAGTGAGATCTGAACATATACTTACTGATAACCTCAGAGTTTCTGAGGTCGTTGGCTTGAGCAATTAGTCGATCACTTTCTCCCCTCTGGAAGGTAGCTTGGTTATTGATACCATCCACAGCCTGGAAGGATATTTACACAGTTACTGGTATTTCAAACAAGCTGCAGTTCTAGTCTAGGGCAGTAGTAATATATTTATGATAAAAACTATTACAAAGACAAAAAATAGTGGCAGTTTAAAGCCCATCTGAAGTCACAGTTATAAATATGCAATCAGATAGAAGTTATACCAACAACCATTTTACCTATAATTTCTTAATGCAGCAATTGTGCAAGGTGTCTAAATATGAATGTGAATTCCAATAGGAACAGGAATTAGAAATAGTGCAGTCACTCAGTTGGTAATCAGCCCTTAGTAACAGACCTGATGCTCAATTCATAAAGGTGACACACCAGGATAAGGGAACTTATTTTATTTAAATGACAGTTATTTTCTGCCAATTAGATTTTAATTTTAATTATTGAAAATATACATCAGGGGTAGGTAACCAGGAACCTAAGTTTTTGTGAAACTGCAAATTCCATCATATCTCTGACTCTGGGAGTCATGCCTGTGGCTCTCAGATGTCTTTAACAGCTGAAAAGCCGATGTTGCCTACACCTCATATAGATCCTTAACCTAGTGTTAAAGTTTTGCATATGAGCCTCTGGGCTGACATGCCCCCTTTCTTCCTCTACAGTTTAAATCTGTGTGAGGATACTTTTTTGCTATGAGATATAGCTGTTACTCAGCTCTGCCAGCAAAGAGCACTGTCAGTGTGAATGCAAGAAACATTTCAACTGAAAAAGGTAATTAAGGCATTTGCAAGTGGTGTGAGCAGGGCCATCTCTATAATGAGGCAGCCTGAGGGTGTTGCCCAATGCGGCATCTCTTTTGGTCAAGTGATGGGGTTGGCAGGCTTTCTAGCCAGAGCATTCCAGGTCTCTAAGAGCAGGCGGGGAGATGTGTAAAGGCCATACAAAGGGGGCGTAACTAGAAATCACAGGGCCCCATAGCAAAATATTGTATGGGGCCCTGTGATTTCTAGTTACGCCGCTTGCAGAGCCTACCTAAGATAGACCGTCCATGGTGGGCTCTGCAGGGTCTCAGGTGGGTTGGTCACACTCCTGCACACCTCTTACCTGTCAGCCCCGATCCGCTGTCAGCCTTCTCAAGCGCCTGGCCCCGCCTCCTCGGTCACCGACGGCCCTGCCTCCTCCTCCGCAGCTGCGGGCTGTCACTGACTCAGCAGCGGCTGTGAGGAGGAATGCGCTACTGCACAGATCACTGACAGGTTGTCAGTGATCTGGATAGCGGCATGTTCCCCCTCATAGCCGCCAGTGACAGCCAGCAACCTGCGATGCCATTGTCACCCAAGCGACCTGCACGGCATCAGGGCGACCCCTTTGTTCCTCGTCCTGGCCGGGCCCCCCTGTGCGCCTGGGTTGCTATAGCGATAGTTCCGCCACTGGCCATACACATCTCCCCTCCCAGCTCTTAGCTACCTGGGATGCTCTGGCCAGCGTCCCGCCCAGCTCCTGACATTCAGTGACATCAGTGAGCTGGGTGGGATGCCTGCCAGAGCTTAGAAGGTGCACCACCAGGACACTGGCCAGAGCACCAACCCCAACCCCCCTCCCAAACATGACCACCACAAGCCAACCCACACTCCCCAACATAATAACGTGCACCCCCCACCCCAACCCCCTGCCACAGGCAGCGATTATGTGAGGAGGACCCCTGGGCGTGAGACTTCAATTGGGCTTTATCCTCGATGAATCAGACTTAATTTTCTGAAAGTGAGATTTTTTCAGTCCTTTAACTGGTGAATTGGTCTAAACTCAATAAAGCATAGCCTAAACATTCCTTTTACCTGTGCTTAGGGCATGACAAATGACCAAGATATGCCGGTCAGATGAGAAATTCTTTAAACATGTCTTTGTGTCTGTAACTCCTGCTCTTCCCTTTATTACCCAGTTTAGACCCACCATCTTTAAGACTGATTTCATATTTCTGCAGCATAGAAAGAAATAAAGTCATGTTTCCCTTTTCCCCATAGAACTATAGTGTATGGCACACAGATACAATGCAGGCTTTGTTCCAAAGAGGAAAGAAGCAACTCTGTAGACTGCATAATCAACACATTAATTAAAAGTTCACTGCAGAGCAATGTGGATTAATGAGCTGACATTAACACCCGAGAACTACAAAAACACAGTCAGGGAATGGTTAGGAACAGGTGCTGATAGCAACAGGGATTTTGTAAACAGTGGAAGCTTTTGTGACTCACATCTTTAGCTCTGTCAGCAGCATTCGCAGCCATAACAGATGTCTCATTGGCATCTTCAACAAGAGTTACAATTCTCTCATACACATTGGAGGCATCAAGAGCTTTTTGGACCAATCCATTTGTGTCGACGTTCTTCAAGTCACTGTTATTGGGGAAATGTTACATAGGTACATAGTTAGGTTGAAAAACGCCACAAGTCCATCAAGCTCAACCAGCTCATACTCGTGAATGCATAGTGCAAAGATTATGTCTTATGAGTTGTTTACTGTATGAGTTGTGTGTGATTCTCTCTGAATCTGATATCTGCTTAAATATAATTAACATAGAACAAAAATTTAAAAGGCACCCTGGTGTCCTGTCTTTTTTTCTGTACAAAAGACTTCGGGTCAGTGACTTTTCTCACAATTTGCAAAAGTTTTGGTCATATAAAGAATAAGACTAGTATAGAAGTCACATTACAGACCAAAGTCATTTAATTTTAGTAAAAATAGATGATCTTTACTGTTGAAATCTTCTCATGCGCATATAAATATATTAAGTAATTCCTTCACCCCACCAATGGACACCTCAAATTAAAAATGACAATGTCGTCTATACACACACACACACACACACACACACACACACACACACATATTCATATACACCCATTTAGCCCACCCACCCAGTTTGCTCAAAATCCTGAATCTTGATGTCTATTTATGACTAATTTTTAGACCATGGGGACCTAAATGCTGTATCTTTGCCGATGTACTAGAGGATAGATGTTATCATAACGTTTCTTGAGCTATTTCTTCAAAGATGCAAAATGTATCTGATCATTTTCCTGGTTAGTGTAGCATTCATTGACTCAGAGCATGAACTTGCTTCTTTGTTTTGTTATACATTATAACCAGTACACGATGTACAGATATACTTTCTCCTCTCTTAGTCCCGTAACATATAATTATTTGCTCTGTGCTAGATGGTATCTCAGCTTCACATCTCCTAAAAGCTTCTCCTTTACTTCTGATGTTTCCCATATATGTTTTTACAGTAATAGAAGCCTCCAGGTCAATAACCTGCTGCTAGCCCACTGATAAGCCACACAACTTCTCAGGCATTGCATATTCCTGGCTTAATCTTCAACTAGTCCACTGCCAGCCCTTAATAATATCCAGTTGCAGTACCCGTCACATTCAATCATTGTATAAGCCCGGATAAGTTCATGTAAGAGCTCGTACCAATCGGCAGTTAGCTCAGCGGATCAGCTAACGGAGGAAAGTATATTTCAGAAGCTGTTCATCATTATACATTAAATTATTTAAATACAATTAAGCCTGGTGCATAATTATAAATAGTATTCTTTACTATTCTACTATAAATTAAATATTAGGGCAAACCTAATATGTTTTGTCAGCAGAGCCATTTCTGTTTCAAAGTCTAATTCCAGAAAAAATATATATTTTTTTTTAGTTTTGGATTGAAGAAGGAAAATACCAAAATAGTGTTTATTGCACCAATCTGAACAGTAAAACTAAACTAGCCTTGTTTTTGGAAAACACTCCCACTTTCTACTGAATAAAGAGCAGGGGGGAAAAGGGGAAATTTAAGGGATCTATACCAAAAAGATCCTTTATTTTATTGTGTATTTACAATCTAAAAATCAATATCATACATTAAAAATAGTTTGCAGACATCAACAGATCTAAGGTGTGGAAACAAAATCATTGCGACAAATATATCCAAATATATATAAAAATATATGGCCAAAAGCATACTGTATATATTCACCTAAAGGGTTTTAAAGTTTTGTGTTTTAAAGTGTTTTAAAGTGTTGCGTGCACTGGTGTCCAACACCAGTGCACGCATCGGTAACTTACCAGAGGTGAAAGATCTTTATATTAAAGTGACAATAAACTCAGGAGTTAAATCTTAAAAATGCATTAAAGTACCCTAACTATTAACAAAAATGTTGCTTATTTGTGTATCACTCAGCTGTAGATACTCAAATCATCTCTGAATTGGTGCCGACACTGTCCTTCCTTCTGGAGGTTGGCTACTTTTGTGCCACATGGTCCCTGTGTGTGTTGTAAGGTAGTGACCGCTCCAAGCTCGCTCCCCTGATGGACTACAATCTCATGTTTAGTTTACTAATTTGTATTGAGATTGTAGTCCATCACGCAAGATTGGAACTGTGGCTACTTTACAACACACACAGGGATCATGGGTAACAAAAGTAGCCAACCTCCAGAAAGAAGGACGGTTACAGCACCAATTCAGAGATGATTTGAGGATCTACAGCCGAGTGATACACAAATAAGTAAAATTTTTATTAATAGTTAAGCTACTTGAATGCATTTTTAAGATATACCTCCTGAGTTTAGCGTCACTTTAAGGCTGTGTTATACTCATCAAATTTCTGTTGGTCTTTCTATTGTTCCCTAACTTCATGTATTTTTTCTTGACCATATAAGAAAATGGAGAGTGGTTGCCCCCAGAACAGAAAGGTACAACCGGTTACTAAAAAACTCAGATGCTGCAACCCTCCCCCATGCTACTAAACGTGCAAGATACCTAGCACTCTAAATACAGAGTTTTGGCCCATAGATAGTGGATCCTGCTGTACCAGACAGTGGATGGCACCATTGTGGCTTTGTTTGAGTTGCAGAGATTTCTTCCATCAGGCAACAGAGTCTGTGATCGTTCATCGATTTCCCATCACTTCCTATACTGACAGCAAATGAGGGGAAATCTCTCCAATTGGGACACAGATAACAAAAAGTAACAGTGCTAACCCTTACATCCTCTAGCTTGATTTCGGATTTAAAGAACCAGTATATCGAAAAATATATAACATTTGATTTAGTTGTATTAAAGAACTAAGACATTTGTACAACTATCGTGTGCAGCCTACTGTACTGTATCCAGTCTGTTCTTGTAGGTTTGTTATTAAACATCAATTCTGAAGTTCATCTACAGTACACAACAGTTTTAATGTATTGGACATTCTGAACATTTGTTCTCCTACCTTTTTAGTTCATCAGAGTACCTTTCAAGTACAAGTGCATGATCTACAGCCTGCCGAACTAGGTCTTCAACGTTGTCAGATAAATTAGCTATTTTCTCCTGCAGTCCAGTTGTAGCTCCATCTATTTCAGCATGGTGACCAGTCATATTCTATGTTAAAAATTAAAGAGCATGTGAAAAAGAGTTATCAAAACACTTATTTTACCATTACCCTAAATGGTTAGTCCACCCAAAACATACTGTATACATCAGTTTTTGGTAGATGCTGGAGAATAAAACCACCTGACAATTTATATCTCTCAGTCTGTTGGTGAAATTGTTATGCTTAAGTTCTTAGGTCTATATGCCTATATGTGAGTATTATGAGGGTTTACACACTCCCTGCCAATTTTTTTTCTTTTTTTCTTTACTTTTTCTATATCATGATAAATACAACAGGAGATGTTTAAACACACAAAGTTGGTGATGGTGGGAACACAAATCTCAGGAATAGAGTTAGGAGATAAAGTGGAACTTTTCCCACCAAATGAACTGCCTCCCAAAACAGTTAAATTTTAAAGCATGTCAACTGTCAAGTGGCCAGTGTGCTTATTTCAGCACTCAAATGAACTTTCAAGCCCTCAAATGGCTGGTTTCATAGCTGATCACATGTGCAGAACCATGGCAACTGCAATCCAAATAGAGGCTAAGATGGCACCTTAGTTGGCTGTAAGGTATAGGAGGGCGTATTTCTGCTGTAAGGATGGGAGAAATTCATTGTTAAAGTATCCGTGAGATATAAAAATTTAGTGACTTCTTTTATGTCTTAACTATAGCTAAAATATCACTTTTGGATGGACTGATTCTTTTTGGCCATTGGTTTTGAATAATACTCATATCTAGTTTTACAAAGTTCTAAAAAATGTTCATGAATTTTTGTCACTTCTGCATTAAAAAGGAAATTATAGTCTTTTTATACATGTAAAAAGTTTCAACTAAATCTTATCAATGTGGATTAATGTATGTGGAGGGCAGAATACCTCATATCTTTCTGAGATCAGAAAGTGGGGCACCTTTCAGCACAATGTAATTACCCCTAATTGGTTAAACCCAGCATTGTTTTTCACCATTCATTTACCTTTATACTGGCTTTTTTGAAAGCGCGAACAAAAGAAAAGATAAAGGTTTTATTGCAGAATCACATTTTGGAAGTTAAATACAACATTTCTTTACATCAGAGATACAGAGGGATTTGGTTCCAAATGAGGGACAGCCTTCCAAATAAGGGACATTTAGGAGGCATGGGGACAGCCATATTTGCTTATTACATATACAGGCTCTGCTTTCAATTTGGTAATGCAGCATAAGGACTGTGTCTTACGATTTTCCTTTCAGTGCAGGTCTTGCAGTCAGGTCTGACTGATTGAAAACATTTTCCCTGATCCTAAAGTTTGAAAACATTTTCCTACTTTTAGAAAGTGAAATATGCCCAATGTACAATTCAAACATTCAGTCCAATGCAGAGGGTCAAAACAAATAGAACTTCTTCATAGGAATAGATGTTTGAATTTAAGCACTGATTTACTTCCCTTAACTTCAGACTTTTCATCCTCATCCTTTTTATTACTCTGTGCTACTTGAATAGCATAAAAACTAGGACAATTGGTTTATACTGTATGTACAACAAAACATTATACATAAAAATGTGTTTATTAACATTTTGTAAACCAAGTACACTGTGCCATAGGAGGTGACTTTAGTAATTTAAAGTAAATCTACCAAGAGTGATATATGGCTGTCTGTGCTGTCTTCTGTCTAAAACTGCCAGCTGCCTGGCTAACCCCTCTGTCTTTAATAGGAGCTAGGCAACTAGCATTTTCTGAAGGAGAAGTCAGCAGTGGCATCTTCCGGTCAGGACTTTTTAAAGAAAAGGTTTGAGACAGTGACCTAGCAAGAAGGATATGCTAAACCAATAATTGCAACTAAACATTGTATATGAACGTGCCCGTGTTTGCATATGGGTCTCTTTCTAAGCCTAAAGGAAACGATACTGTAGTGAGTTTTTTTTTCTTCATGGTTCTGCCTCATGTTCATGCATTTTCTTACTCTGTATTTAACAAATAAAGACATTTGGTATGTTCCAGACTTCAACTACCCACAGAAAATGATTTATTTAATATTTCCAATATTCTCATCTGGTTTCCAAATGTTCATAAATACATAATAACATTCTCTGCCAATTACAGAAAGTAAAGTCAGCAGAAAATCTAAGATATGTATTTGTCCTCATTATCTCCTCACTTGGTTCACTTCACTGTACCTTGATTATGCCATTAATATCTTCAATGATCACATTGGTATCATTTAATGTTGTCCAGGCTTCTTTTAAGGCATCGTTGGTAGATGTTGCTGCTTCATTCACAGTTGTTATCTGTTCCTGGTGGGGAATTTACATTTCATCAGTTAGTTAAAATGTACACTTTTTTTAATATCATATAACTCATTTAATCAATATCATTGTGCAAAGGTGCTGTAATCCATAGCAACCAGCTGGAGATAATTTTTCAGTAGACCGAATGCACATAAATAGCAACGGTTATTATACCTCTTTTGAGTCATTCACTTTAACACAGAATAAATATATCAAGAATGTATAAAAAAGGGACATGCTTTAAGATCAACCTCCTGTCTGCAGACGGTAAATGTGAAATATTGTCACGTGATAAGAGTATCCAAATATCCAAAATTCAAATTTCTAATACTGAACAAAAGAAAATGAATAGGGAACACATATATGAAAAGACACAATGATTGGTCATTATGGATTACTGCATGCCACTGCTCTTCGCAGTATGGTGTTACATAGGCTCTTTGCATTTCTTTCAAATCATATAGCTTGCTCACTCGATATTAGAAAATAACCTGTTGGTGTATTGAAAATGCATAGTCACAGTGTTCAAAACATAATTCATATATGTGGTGATTTGTGAAAAATGAAAAATAACTTGGAATAATTATTCATTTTTTAAATGCAATTGTGTCTGTGGGTTTGTAATAAAAAGTGTATAGCCCGCACTGGAGGAAGAATATCCTGCTTTAATGACAGTGCCCCTAGAGCAAGACTGATATCATACAGATAGACCATCATGTTAGACAAGAGATGGGCAGGTGTTAGAGGGAATGCCTTCTTTGAATAAATCTGCCATATGAAAGTAAGACTGCCCCACATAAGGCTACTACAGGGGTAGGCAACCTCAGCCTGTGGCTGCCAGAGTCTTGCAATGCTTCATGGAACCTATAGTTCCACAATAGATAGAGTGCCAAGGTTACCTACCCCTGGTCTACCATATTAGACAGAAACTGCACTTTAGTGAAACCACCAGGGGATAGACAGACTGCTCTGTTAGAGTGAGACTGCACTGTGAGAGAGCACAATGTGAGAAAAATAATGGCGTGTAAAGAGAAAAATTATTTTTGTTTAGAAAGCCACTCTCACTTGTAGGACTTTGTATTTAGGGAATGGCTTCTTAGTGAGAGACTGCTAGTGGGAGATGTCTATGTGAAGTATTGTTCTGTAAGACTCTCCTTTGAGAGAGAGATGCCCTATTATCATAAAGACTGTCAGTTGAGAGACTGCATTGTTAGGGGCTGCCTTGTGAGAGACTGCCCTTTTATAAGGGGACTGCCCTGTTATGGAGAGACAACTACATGGTAGACTGAGATGTTGGGGAGCATCCAGGACCTCCTCCATCATTCAGAAGAAGACAGAAGTCCATCTCTGTCCATCCAGACCTGATTCACCTCCTGATCTCTGCCTTGCTGCTGCAGTCGCACTGGGGTAATGATTATAAGGCAGGACTCTGATGTGAAGGGGGGCTTTTGATGTGAAAGGAGGGACTCTTGATATGTAGGGGGGAACTCCTTATGTTTTTTTTTTTGGGGTGATATCCCTCCTTAAAATGCACACCAGACCCCTATTTAGGATAAGGTAATCTGATATAGGTTTTTTTAGAGGGGGACCACATGTCATTCTTTCACATTTTTACATTTATTTTTTTACATTTTAGATTGGGGTACCTTGAGATTTTGCATACTTGGGTGCTGTGACTGAAAAAAGGTTAAAAAACGCTGTTTTAGACCTACAGATAAGTAAATTGCAATTAATAATTCCCTTATGGCTAAATGTTATAGAGATCCTATATTATTGCATTATTCTTGTCTTTTGACATGATCTATAGGGAGCAAAATCATCTTACATCTTGTATTTGAAGCTTGCCGCTGTTTTCTGTGTTTTTTTTAGTTGTTTCCATAATGTTGTTGCGAGCTTCCTTTATATATTCTTCCAGATCAGATAGCTTCATATTGTATTCTGTGATGGGCTCCAGTACAATCGGAAACAGAGACAGAGTATTGTTGTGTTTCTGCAGCCAATCTTCTTGGACTTCACTTAACACTGCAATATAGAGAGATCACATACCAAATGTAATATTATACTGATTCTATAAAAATGTAACAACATATACTGTGAGCTTAAAGTGTGTGCATAGTCATTTTATTTAGTTTCGGATAGAGTGGGGAAGACTTAGAACTTTTTTTTCAGGTTTTACTGCAGTCAGAGGCTCTGTTGCAAAGATTCCTCCACTTTTTTGTGCCTTTGTCATCAGGACTGGAAGTAAGGGACTATCTCTCTAACATCAACACAGACAGAAATAAAAATGCTTTAAGTAAAAGTGACACTAAACTCAGGAGTTAAATCTTAAAAATGCATTTAAGTACCTTAACTATTAACAAAAATGTATCTTATTTGTGTACCACTCAGCTGTAGATCCTCAAATCATCTCTAAATTCATGCTGATACCGTCCTTCCTTCTGGACAGTGATTACTTTTGTTCCCAATGATCCCTGTGTGTGTTGTAAAGCAGCCATCGCTCGAAGCTCCCTCCCATGAGGGACTACAATCTCAATACAAATTGGCTAACTAAACATGAGAGTGTCACAGGAGTGAGCTTGGAGCGATGGCTACTTTACAACACACAGAAGGACCATGGGGAACAAAAGTAGCCACCCTTCAGAAGGAAGGCTCAATTCAGAGATGATTTGAGAACCTATTTTAGCTTAATAATAAATTATATACAAACTTTGCTAGCTCCCCTTTCTCATCAAAGTATTAATTGCATTCTAAATTTAAATTCTGTTCTGTAGCTGTCACATGTGAAAGCACACAAGTGTAACACCTGGGGTAGTTTCGGGGTTTGTGGATCGCAATCCACAATCTTCCCAATCTTAACGGGGAGTTAGGGTTCAAGCATCACAGCCAAAAGAAACAAAAAAGGAAGAAGGGATATTACAGCATATTCCCTATCTTGATATAGTATCCTCAATTTGTAATGGTTACGAATGATAACTGAAATTCAGGAGTGTAACAGCCTTAGTTAGAGTCAATTATGTAATCTCCCAACAGTCCACTAGATGGAGCACAAGAGCTAATCCAGGGTTCTTAGTTATACAGTCACTAAGGTTTAAGCTGCAGTGCAATGAGCACAAGTACTTGCTGTTTAAGTGGAGGCAGTTAAGGTGCAGGGGTTCAGGAGCAATCGATCCAGAGATGTGTAGCGGCCTGCAGGCGAGTAGAAGAGCAGTGGTGTCCCAGGAGACAGTAGGCGTTCAGTCTGCATTAGTGGAACGCCATACTGTCTCACTGGGGCGCTTATATAGGGCCAAGGGCTGGGGGTGGAGCCGCTGATTGAGGCGGCGCACTTCCGCGTCCCACGGTGGAACGCATCCGACGTCCGAACCCGGAAGTGGATGTGTGCGCTCCACCCTGGGACGCAGACGGCCGGTGGCGAGAAGCGGCGGAACCGTGCCCTCCCCGGACCCCAGGTGAGCGGAGTCGGCGGTTCTCATTACAGAACCCCCTCCCCAAGGGAACACCTCCGGGGTTACCCGTCGGAGCTGGTCGATCTGGGTACCTGCGATGGAACTCTCGGACAAGTCGGGGAGCGTGTACGTCTCCTGAGTCTTCCCAAGAGTCGTCCTGGGATCCGTAGCCCTTCCATCTGATCAGGTACTGGATGAAAGAACCACGCCTACGGGAGTCCAGGATCTTCTCCACTTCATACTCCACCTCGCCTTGCACCTCAACTGGAGGAGCCGGAGGGGAACTCCTATCCGAGAATGGGTCAGGCCGGAAGGCTTTAAGAAGAGAGACGTGGAACGAGGGGTGTATCCTCCAGTCTGGGGGTAGCACTAAGCGTACCACATTGGCATTGATGATTTTGTCGATGGGGAAGGGTCCGACAAATAGGCGGCCGAGTTTCTTCGAGGGAACGTTGAGTCTCAGGTTCCGGGTGGAAAGCCAGACCATATCACCAGGTTGGTATGAAGGTGGTGCAGTCCTACGGGAGTCGTAGCTGCGTTTCTGCTTCCCTTGAGCTGCCTCTAGGTTGGAGCGTAGAATCCCTGCGGTCCTTTTTAAGGTGGAGAGGTAGTCCTCCAAAGAGGGAACGTTGCTAGGGAGGACCGAAGAGGGTAGACTGTTTGGATGGAAGCCATAATTTGCATAAAAAGGAGATACACGGGTAGAAGCACTGGTAGCATTGTTGTAAGAGAACTCAGCGAGTGGCAGCAACTGGGACCAGTCATCCTGGAGATGGGTGCAGTAGCACCTGAGATACTGCTCCAGGGATTGGTTAACTCGCTCTGTTTGCCCATTGGTCTGGGGGTGATAGGCAGCAGACATGCGATGGTCAATGTGTAGAGTCTTGCAGAGGGCCCTCCAGAACCTGGATACAAATTGGCTACCTCTGTCAGAGATGATCCGCGAGGGCAAGCCGTGTAGTTTGAGTACCTGAGTGACAAACGTGTGTGCAGTCTCCCTTGAAGTCGGTAGTTTCTTTAAGGGGGAAAAATGTGCCATTTTTGTCAGCAAGTCCACCGTGACCATGATGGTGTTAGCCCCTTCTGATCTGGGGAGATCGACTATAAAGTCTAGAGAGATGGTCTCCCAGGGTCTGTTGGGAATTGGTAAGGAGGTCAAAAACCCAAATGGAGGTCTTCTGGAGTGTTTGCTGGTAGTGCAAATCTCACAGGTGACCACGTAGTCACGAAAGGTATTAGCCATCCCTGGCCACCAGAAATTTCTGTTGACTAGGTCTAGAGTTCTTGATACCCCTGGGTGACCCGCCAGAGGCCCGTCATGGAGTTGTTTGACGATCAGGGTTTGTAGTGTGGGAGGTACGTAGAGCCTGCCTTTGTTGAGGTAGAGACCTTCAGTGTCTTGTCTGAGGTCACTGGTTTGAGGGACGACATCCTGGGCGATGTTTTGTTGGAGTAGCCGTTTGAAGCCAGTAGTCAATCCAATGAATCTTTCAGGAGGGATAATCGATAGAGGAGGATGATCAACCGTTCCCTCTTCCTGCATACGAGACAAGGAGTCGGCCTTCACATTCTGCGGCCCAGGCCGATAAGATATGTGAAAGTTGAACCTGTCAAAGAAGAGGCTCCAGCGAACCTGACGAGCGGACAAGATTTTACATGCCTTCAAGAATTGCAGATTGCGATGATCCGTGAAGATGGTTATGGGGTGTCGGGCACCTTCGAGGAGGTGCCTCCAATTGGCCAGGGCATCTTTGATAGCCAGTAGTTCCTTCTCCCCGATAGGGTAGTTCACTTCTGCGGGAGTTAGGGTCCTGGAGAAGAAGGCGACCGGGTGCAGAGGTGTAGAAGGAGAGGAGCGTTGGGAGAGTACTGCCCCTAGGGCGAGGTGCGAAGCATCCACTTCCAATATGAAATGGTATTCAGGATTAGGAAGCTGGAGGATGGGAGCCGAGGTGTATTTCCTCTTTAGAGTGTCAAAGGCTACCTGGGCTTCTTTTGACCAGAGAAAGGATGTTGTCGTGCTGGTTAACCTTGTCAGTGGTTTCACCACAGCGGAGACATTTTTAATGAACTTGCGGGTAATAGTTCGAAAACCCGAGGAAGCGTTGGAGGGCCTTCCTGGTTCGAGGGATGGGCCAGTTGACAATGCACTCAACTTTAGACTGGTCCATGAGAATCCCGTCCGTCTTCCACTCATCCCCCGTTCGGATTCTGATCAAGTTGTAGGCTCCCCTGAGATCTAGTTTTGTATAAATCTTTGATGTTTGTAACCTCTCTATTAACTCCGGGATCAACGGTAGGGTGTACCGGTTTTTCACAGTGATGTTGTTGAGACTGCGGTAGTCGATGATGGGACGGAGTGAGCCGTCCTTGTTCCTCACAAAGAACATTCCCGCACTCGCAGGGGAGGTGGAGGGTCTAATAAAACCTCTCTTTAGATTGTCATCTAGGTAGACTTTAAGGTGTGCCAATTCCGGCTGCGAGAGCGGGTAAATTCTTCCAGTGGGAATGGGACTGCCCGGGATTAGATATATGGGACAGTCGTAAGGACGATGCGGGGGTAGAGTCCCTGCCCCGCGTTTGCTAAAAACGTCTGCGAAGTCTCGGAGGTGAAACGGGGGAACGTCAGACTCGGTCCCTGTCATGAAGACGGGACATATGGGGTAGCAAGTCTCCTTGCAGTAGTGTGAGTCTAGGCGGAGTCTCCACTCTGACCATACTATGGCCGGTTGGTGTATCGTTAACCAGGGGAGACCGAGTACCACAGGGAATAAGGGAGAAGGAATGACATTGAATACTTGGTATTCCGTGTGTCCCTCTCCACAGGTAACCATCAGAGGTTGGGTTTGGGAGGTCACCGGCCCCGAGGAGGACGTAGAACCGTCGATGAAAGTGACAGACATCGCGGTGGAACGCATCCGACGTCTGAACCCGGAAGTGGATGTGTGCGCTCCACCCTGGGACGCAGACGGCCGGCGGCGAGAAGCGGCGGAACCGTGCCCTCCCCGGACCCCAGGTGAGCGGAGTCGGCGGTTCTCGTTACAACAAGAAAAGAGAAAGCTAAGTGCCTTTTAAGGCAGCTTCTTTCTTACCTTCGATAGGAAGCAAAGGACGAACTGCAAATATGCATCACATGATTAGGCCATTCCTACAGTTTGCCATTTTCAAAATGGCAAATGAAATCAGCAGCATAGACTGGGTGGAGCAAGACTAACAAAAGTTGTAGTTTACATATTTCATTTACTATAGACAATTATAGAGCAGTCAATGTAGATTACACTGTGTGAGAGTTTAGCTTCAAACAGAGCATGCACAAAAGCCTTCCTAGCTCCCTTTCATTAATCAAAAAAATATAAATCTATTCCCACACAGTGGTTATGTCTATCATTATCCCAAATTGAAGATACAGGTGTCCCACCAGCCTTGTGCACATAGTGTTATTTCACAGATAGGACTCTCCACATGCACACCACACTTAAACAGGCACTTCTTGTTCCTAAAGCCACCTGGTCTGCAAATGGTAGGCAGGGAGTCCACCTTCACTTTCCCTGGCCAGACTCAGAGTCCAAAACACATGAAAGAAGCTTTATTCATGGCATACAATGTTTACCTCTGGAGTCAAAAATGGTCATAGCTTTAGCGACATACAGTAAATACTCTGTTTCAGACCACCTGGGGCATCTCTGCCACAGCTGTTGGAATTTAATTTTGTTAATGCAATGTTTTTTTCTTTTCTTTTAGAGTAGGAAATAGTTCAAATCCGTGTCGGTTTTTTGTCATCTGTGTCCCAATCAAGCGTTTTTCCTTCCCTTCCTTGATGTCTGCCCATCAGAAGATTTGTACTTTATTCCAGTTTTGATGGCAACTTAACATTTTGGATTTTTATAGATCACCTTTAATAGTGGCAGAAACATCAACAAAAAACCTGGCAGTAGTTCTAACACTTCCATTAATACTTTGCAGAAAGGTCAGCAAGGGAACTCCCATCATGCAGTTCTTTATTGATGCAATTCACTTGTACTGCATGAGAAACAGTAGTTGGTGGCTGGATGGGTTTTAATTGTTTCTAACCTTTGTGGAATTGCATTAATAAAGGGTTAAGAGAACTACATGAAGGGACCACCCTTCATTCTGTGAAGTATTTATAGTATTGTACTATGACAAGTGAACACCGAGACCTGCTTCTGTGGATGTTACAAGGAGCTCATTTGTAAGCAGCAGAGGCATGCTTGCAGAACGTGTGTATGAGTAAATCGGAGCCTGGACCCTGGAGAGGTAGTGTTATTGCTAGCTGTGGATTGATGGTGGATTTTACTATACAATCACTGGATTTGAAGTGTTGTCAGCATGAATCAGATATTGTATAAGGACACTTACACAATTTGCACTTTTTCTAAATAGATTGAATTAACACTTATTGATTATTTGTTTTACTTTTATTGATAAGCACTGTAATTTGATTTTTGTAGCATAGTCTTATGAAGCAAGTTCTCTGAAAGATTAGTCTGCCTTTCCCTCCAGAGAACTGTGAGTGCCACATACTTTCTTGCAATTATTATATAACCCCTCCACACTACATCCAAAAAAAGTTTTGCCTTTATATCTATTTAAGGTAATTCATGACATGCTAGTAAACAGCAATGAGTTCATGAAAAAAATGCAGTTTTAAGTTTTACCTCCTGAGTTTAGAGTCACTTTAATCAAGTCTGTCACATGTAGGTGCATCTAATTAGGTAAAATGATGTCTAGACAACTGGACAGAAAAACTCTGTTATGCTAATTAACAAAGCAGATGATTTAGGAAGGTGCTAACTGGATTCCAGACACAGTTTGGCATTTGACCTTACTGATAAAGACAAAACTCATGCTACACATGGTTATAGTTGTACAACAAATCAACGTAATAAAACTAAAAACAACAGCAGATGCAGTTACACAATTAGTCAGTCTGAAAAAAAGACACAGGTCCATCGAGTTCAACCTAGCCTGTTGTAATATAATAAAAGTAATAAATAGATAAAATAAAGGTAACTCTGATGGTTATTTCAGCAGATTCCAAGTGTTAAAATGTATAAAGGTTTAATTTACTTTTTACTTTACAAAAGCTAAAATTAACGTGTCTACTCACAGTCTTCTGCATTTTCTGCTTCTTCTTGGACCAGCTTTTTTTGAAGGTCAAAGTTTAGTACTGAGAGTTCCTTGAGCATTTGCTCTGCTTCCTTTATGCTTTTAATTCGATCTGTTGGGCTCACATCCCCTTGCAGGGATTGATAATGCTTCAGTTTAACAAGTGTTTCTGTGGAAATAATAGAGATATATTTACATTTTTGTACATGTGGGTATACAGGTGCACAGTATTACCATCAGTGACTTGGGTAACATCACACTGCATATCTGTTGGTTATCAGAGGTTCAGTCTAGTGTACTAAAGCCTTGGCACAGTCCTATGAGAATTGCAAGATACAGTCTTCATTAATTGCTGTTTTTCATTACCTCCACATAAGGCAACCAGAGTCAGGGGTAGAATAATGAAGAGGAAAACTGCAATACAAAGTAGCTGTGGCCTTACTTAGGAGGTGCCAACACATGTTTCTCTGAACACCATCTCTCAGAGATTACAGCCCATGTGCCTTACCAGGTGCATAGTTTCATGTTGTCATTTTTTGTTTGATAATGACAATAGTTACATAGTTACATAGTATTTGAGGTTGAATAAAGACATAAGTCCATCAAGTCCAACCAATGTGAACAAAAGGCACACAGTACAGTCCATGAACCCATTGCACTCCTGACCGTATCACTCGCAGCAAAAAAGGGTGCAACGATGGCCTACGGATGGCTTTGTATCAGAGCAAGGAAACATATGACACCGTCACGCCAAAATCATTGCCGAAAATTTCCTTTATTGACGCATGTGTATAACATCACATAGTGGCATGTTTTCGTCAATGATTTTGGAGTTCCGGTGTGTTATGTTTCCTTGCTCTGAAGGCACACAGGACTTGCAGGGAGCTAACATTTTACTGACAGTTATTCTAGGAAACAAGATGCAATTTTATAGAACTTGTTAAATGGGGAGGTGAAAGGGTAGAAATTTCTGCACAAAATACAGGTCACTTGCAGTATTTTACTTTTTTCCTTGCTTCTGTTGTCAGATCCCAGCAGTCATCTGGGGAGAACTGAGCAATTTAAATGGTGCTCCTTTGGCAGCACTCAGCTCAGATGGGCCACTCACGTTATGAGAGGGCTGACATGGCTGAAGGATAATGAAACAACTACTCCAACTCCTGCCTGTGTATATCTCCTTTTTTTCTACATGACCACTAACTAAAGTGCCTACTTAAAGGTGACTCTGGATAAACACCCTTTTCCGGTAGTCATGTGACACAAGAGCTCCACCTAGTGTATCCTTCCTCTGCCGACCTCAGCTGCAGAAGGATACACGGGTAATTCTATACAACTGCAATTGGCTAAAATACATACAGTACAGTGCTATGCAAAGTCTCTGGTGGCTGGATCGGGGCACAGGTGAAGGATCAGGCCTCGGGAAGGAGCTCTGCACAATACAAAAAAACTGTGGACACCTACAAAGGCACACAGACTGACACGTGGAGGTATGGTGGTGCACACATGGAGATGCGCTGGTGACACAGGAAGACACCTGGAGATATACACAGACACAGAGACATGCTGCAGGCACAGGGGTTACACTTGGAGCTACAGAAGAGTATAGGGGTACGCTTGGAGATATTGAGGAGCAGAAGGGTACACTTGGAGATACAGATGAGAACAGGGGTATACTTGAAGACACAGAAAAGCGCAGGGGTACACTTAGAGATAAAGCACACAGAAGTTCATTTGGCGATATGGAGACACATAGAGGCACGATAGGGGCACAGGGGTACCCTTGGAGCATTTATAGCATTCATTTCAAAGCTTTAAATATAGTGTATTATGTCACTTATGTCATTCTTGAGAGAGGCCTGGAACCTAACTCCCTCACTTTCCATTGACTTACATTATATATTGGGTTTCAATTTACATTGGTTTCTATTTACAACCATTCCTTCTGGAACCTAACCCTGGCATAAATCGTGGGCCACCTGTGTGTGTGTGTATATTTATATCTATATCTCCTTACTTCCTTACTTTGTTTTAAAATATATGTTTTGTAGGCTGCTATGTTTAGATTCTAGGTGTGTTAGTGTCAGTCTCAAATTTGTGTCAAATTGGCGTAGTTTAAGCATGGTGATTTTATATCTAAACAGATTCTAGGTATTTAGATAATCTATATTAAAATACAATGTGTGTGTTATACCTTTCATACTATGAACTGAAGCACTACCTGATATGTTAAACATTTGGAGGAATACAAAGGAGCTGGCATGTTAAATCATTAGTTTGACAAATGGTTCCTGAATATTTGCTGCATTGAATGCATTGCACAGTGAAACGGAAAGGTGCAAGTTATTAAATCATTGATGCTATCTTTGTCATTTATCATATTTTTTTGTGTGGATTTGTTACTAAGTGAGTCTTCCTTTTTATAGAGTACCCACCTGGCTTCAAATGATAACATTCTATAGAAATAATACCATTATGCAGATAGGAAGAGCTGTCAGTTACAATGCCGAGTGTGAAGAAGAGGTCATAGAAAACAGCTGCAATACAGGACCGTGCAGAGTGAGCCATCCAAACCACAGAAACAGGATGTTGAGGAGAACAAAAAAATGAAGAACTACAGCCTATCCCCATTTGACTTTTGAGAATCAGTGTTCCTAGGGGCAAAACAAATTATTCTCCTTACAGCAGGAATTTTGCATTTGGGTATTGCCGTCCAGAGATCTGTTCTAGTCCCAAAGAAGATTGTGTCTTTGAAATAAGCAAGAGGTTTTAAAGTTGCAAGCAAATGTTTGGGAATTGTTTGTAAGTGCCTGGATTTATGCATGAATAGATCCTCAAATATTTCAAATCTTCTAAAAAAAAACCTTGCTGAATTGCCATTCCAGGGCTGCCATCCATATTTTCTTCACAATTCAGTAAGTCATTGGGGGTGATTTACTAACCTAAACACACGCACGCACTAGGTGCGTGTGATTTTTACACAGCAAAACGTATTTATCAACCAAAAGGTCTCTAAATGCATATTTCCACTAATGCCATATATGGAAAAATCATGCACATGATGCATATACAATGCTACTTCACAGTTTAGACAAAAATTGTTAGCTCATGCATTTACATTCCTGCATTCATCAATGCAAGCAACACAACATAGAGCTAATTTACACAAGATCACCTTGCAAATTCATGCTTGGCTTTGCACAACACACCTGCTGGGTGTGTACACACTACAAAGGTGTTTAGATTCCACCCATAGATCATGCTGGGAGGGAACACACTACAGAGGTGTATACATGTTCGTGGTGTGTTTATAAGGTTAGTAAATCAACCCCATTGGCTCAGGATGTGCATAACAGGTGTCCAATACTGATATGTTCATAATTGCCTCAGGTAAATGGCTCACCACCAAGTATAGAAAGGGTTCATTATAATAAAACAAAGTGGCTGTTGTGATATATGTCCTAAAAATGAACATACCTGTCCCTTACATTATGTTCTATGCTGGCCCACTGTGGTGGGCAATGCTCCGACTCTGGAGTATGTCAAGCTCATCCACTTCCTCTTGCTGCTCACATATTCATATGCTGTGCTTTCTCATTGGCAAATAGGAATGTGCAGGAGGCAAGAAGGCAATGACAAGTTTTGACATTACCCAGAAGTGTTGGAGCTTTGCCTCTCAAAATTGCTTGACCTTTGTGAAATGGTAAGGATATGGAGGCTGTTGCTAATATGTGCAGGCACTTTGTATCCGGCAGCAGTTTCTTTGTTTGGATATAGGAGCAGCGCTGCTTTACAACCTAATTCAGTTCTTGATCCAGGGGCACACAGTGGCCTGAGTGGTGCACACATGACACAATTCAATAACAGTTAATGTATGTGTAGGCATTGAAGGCAGACTGGTTGAAAGCTACAGAGGAGAAGCCATGACTGTCTGTGCAATGAGGTCCAAGTTGAGTAAGGCTGGGTGTTATTCGGCTCATACTAGAAAGTAGATGAGTATGGCAGTCAAAGCTGTGCTTGTTTGTTATCAGGCATTAGTGATTTATCTTTAGAAGCTACAGTTGGGTTGTAGGCTTTTATTTCATTCTCCGTAAAAGGTTTACATTGGTCCTTCTGTTCTCACAGACTATCCTGGCCCTAAGCAGCAAAGCTGCCCCAAATCATGATGCTCCCTTTACCATGTATTGTTGTTGGGATGAGGTTTTGCTATTGAAAAAATAATACTTTTTTCCCCTCCAGATAGTGGTGTCCTTTTTGCCAACAGAACATTATATTAGAAGGGTCGTGGAATATTTAGGTTAACCTTTTCAAAATTAAACATGCAGCAACATTTTTGTTTGGAAAATATGGGTCACCTCCAATGAAGCCGGTTTCACCACTCCCGAGGAAGGAAGTAACAGTAATACAGTTTTTTCTGTATTACTGTGGATTGATGAACATCAAAGACTTTTGATATGCCTTTGAGGCTGTTTTTTACATCTGTGCATTTCTTCTAAGATCCTCTGGAATTTCTTTTGGACATACCGTAGGTCACATTAACAAATCATCTTGAGAAGAACTGAACTTTGTGTGTTATTTTTATAGGTCACCTTCAAAACTTACCCCAAATTTAATTGCCGACCGGAATGCCAAGATCAGCTACTGAAATATAAATACTTTTTGCCTGGAGTTGAGCTTTGGGTTCAATTGAGAGTGTATAGAGCAGTGATGATGTGCAATGCTCATTGCAACCAACCAGACTGAATGATTGAAACCTTATTTCTGATTGTTGTGGGTTACTGCACTGTACACTGCTCTGAGCCATAATAAAAAAGGTCTTAATGGGTTTATTTATTACATGTATTGATATAGTACTGACAATTTACACAGCGCTTTACATACTGAACATTCACGTCAGTCCCAGCCTCCAAGGACTGATCAGTCCCAGCCTCACTATCACACAGGTATACAAGGCCAATTTAGACAGGAGTCAATTAACCTTCCAGCATGTCATTGAAATAATAAATTACTACATGTTATCTTATTTTGCCGTGTGCTGTTTAATTAAGGTTTTGAGTAGCCTAGAAATTATTTTCAGAAATAAACATAGCAATTAAATATCTTCTTGTGTTTCAGAGATGCTTTGGTCACCTGGACCTGCAATCCATCTCTTGCAGATTGCTGAATGACACAAATTAAAATAGCAGAAGATTATGAAGAAGAATATGCTTCTCACCTTTAATCTCATCTTCTATGTCACTAACTAGTTCTGCAGTCAACTTTGCACGGCTCATTGTTTCCATAGTTTCCTTGTGCATCAGCTGGCCTTTTATCTCTGCAAGATTTCCCTGCAAATGGCAAGTGTCAGCATAAGTTCACAATGTCATATTCTGCAAGAGTACACAGTACATTCCATGCACAGCTGGATGCATACTGCCCCCCATGATTCCACATTAAACATTTATCACATAGAGGCATGCATATACATTTAAAATATACTGTTACAAACACATACATGACAAACACCATTATTTATATATATAATATATTTCCAGTAATATATACAATATGTATAACGGCCTGGGAAGGCTGTCCACAAGGTTTAGGAGTGTGTTTGACCATTCTTCCAGAAGCGCATTTGTGAGGTCAGGTACTGATGTTGGACAAGAAGGCCTGGCTCGCAGTCTCCGATTTAATTCATCCCAAAGGGTTCTATTGGGTTGAGGTCAGGACTCTGTGCAGGCCAGTCATGTTCCTCCACCCCAAACTCGCCCATCCATGTCTTTATAGACCTTGCTTTGTGCGTTGGTGCGCAGTGATTTGTCACTCCAGAGAACACGTCTCTACTTCTCTAGAGTCCATAACAGTGTCTGTTGTGCCAAGAGTTACAATGAAACAATGTTATTATTGCTTCATTGTAACTTTTCTGGTTCATTCATAGCAGATCAATGTGGTGACATTTGATCTGCATACAATGTCAATTAAAGAAATCATGCAAGTTAAAAAAAAGTAGAAAAAAAGTACACCCTGTTAACCCTAATTTAATGTAATTTCTTTCTTCCCTTCACTTCTTAGTTATTATTTTGCTGCTCTTTTTTATTTTAATTTGGTTTAATAGTTAAACGTTTCTTTTATGTTTATTCTTTTGCTCCTTGTTACTAAACGAGCTTAGGTTTATGTATTTAAAATGAATGGCTATGAAAACAACCCTGGTTGAGTTTTGATGAAGCTTTAAAAACAAAAAGTAGTAAATCAAGCATTCTGGGATTCTCTGTTAATATAGTAATATGATCAGAGGTATGAGGTCCATAGCATACTAACCTTCTCAGCAATTTCACTGACTTCGGCATGCAGGAGTTCTACTTCTGTTTCAATGTCAGCAACCTGGAGATCTTCAGACAATGACTGACTCTTCTTATCTTGCAGATTGTCCTTTAAATTATATAATTTAAATTAATTTTGCAATCAGTTCACTAAAATGAATGTGAATGCAACATACAGTATGTACTGTGTAATGCAGCCAATGATATCAACCCATTTGCATATATAAAAAAATAGAAATATCGGCAAGACTCTGAAGGCAGCCAAGGGGATATGTTCACTATACATTAGAACAAGCATAAAAACTTTTCTACCCTGTGGGATTTTAGTGGTACCAAAAAAAGAAGATTGTTTCTCATTAGTCACAGATGTAAAAGCCACTACGGCAAGCAATATTTTATATGAGACTATATAAAAAAATAGCTGGCACCCCTGCATGGCCAGGTTTAAATCCATCCATATGGGCCTTTTCTCTTTTGCTCGGCATAGTCAAGACTTTTACTCTGCAATACACTACCAATGGATTATTGACATTACAAAAAAATATGTACGTTCCTAAGGAAACAGGTCCACCTGTGAAATGGATAGAGAAAATTCAAAAAAAATTACATCTATGACTGGTGAGATACAATATCAGCATGACATATATTGTGACTTTTTGGAACTATTATTTCTTATGGTTACAGTGTTTGTGTAAAAGCTCTTTCTCTAAATGCAACAACAAGGGGATATTACATCAATAATATTATTACAAAGACAAAAATCAATGGCAAACTATAAACCAACAAAGGAAAGTGATCAAGTGAATCAATACCGTGAGTTGGATGACTGATGAGTTAATGCCATTCAGGAGTCTGTTAACTGCCACTCCAGTGGATATACTCCCTATTGTTGACCTGGTTTCATTTATTAATATATCGCTGAGCCTGATGTCATCAATTAGGTCCCAGATACATTTATCGCAATCTAGTGAAACAGGAGAACACTTTCACTTATCTGTACAGGATATGTTTATGTATAGCATATATTACAGTTTTAGTATACTATCTCTAGGTAAAGAATTCTTCCAACTTTTGCACAACTTTATTATGCTAGTTAAAGAAGAAATATCGCCACAACTTAAAAATCCTTGTTAAAATATCCAGGGGATGAAGTGCTGGTATCATTTGGTCCTGTTCTGATTGTAAAAAAAAACCCACATCTTTATGTCTGTTTGTGCTGGCTGTCAGCTAGACCACAGGCTAAAACCCACTTTTATGGGGGAGCCACAGTACATCACAGCACTGTAGCCAACACACGCTCTAAAATTCTCTCACTTTGAAAATTATGACAGTAAAATGGAGACTTAGATTACTCACTGTAGGGCAACATACACACACACTGTCTGTCCTGGTTTACCTGTGCCTTCCCTTCCCAGTGCTGACTCATTCTTTACTAGCATGAGTGCAATGGATTTTTACTGGCAGTTGGCAGATCAATAACACAGGCCCATCAGTGCTGATTGATCCTTTACTACTGCGAGTGCACATTGTGAATGTAGATTAATAAAGGATCAGTCAGCACTAGTGGGACTCTGTGAGAACCAATAGTAGCTTTAATCTAACCCCTAATAAGACCTGTTCATCTCGCTGTACCCCACAATTCACCAGAGAGCCTACTGGATGGGGAGGACACAAAGGGAAACACTACCCTCTCTTTGTAATCCAGGACAGCAGGTCACTGCTGACTGTAATCAGATTCAGCCATGGATTGCATGATCCAAGAAAACTGGCCAGCAATGACTGTGCCATTGATAAAAGTGCCTGTGTGTGTGCAAGGCTGTTACCTGACAGGATAAGATTATGCCAATAAAGGTAAGCACATGGCAGCAAGTGGTGACCAAACCTGTCTTGCTATATGCAGAATAAAAACTGCATTCACAATAGTAAAGGATCAGCCAGCACTGGCAGGCCTGTGTGATCTATCTGCCAGTGCAGTGGATGATCACACAGCTCTGCCAGCACTGACTGGTCCTTTACCATTGGGAGTGCTTGTGTTATGATCTGGAGTTCACCTCCCTCCTGCTGTGCTAACTGATGGCTCTCATCTCCAGTGTGTGCCTTCTGCTAGGGACAAGTGTTGTCAATCAGACCTCATTAGATATGTGTCTCCTTCTGAACAGCATGGTCAATGGGGGTGTGGGGCATGTTAATCATGCTAGTTTAGCAAAACCCATCACAGATCAGAACAGGACCAATTGCTACATGTACTTGGTCCCCTGGGAGATTCAACTAAGATTTTTAAGCTGTGGTAATACTTCTTTATTAACTGCTATATTTAATGCACCATATCTACTGAAATGTTTTATCTTTGCACTTTTTCAAGATATTTCGGGATAATTTTTGGGATATTCTTGGTAATATTCTATAGATTTATTTGGAAGCCAAAAAAAACATAACACCTTCCTTGTGTAGGTTTGGGTTGATTTCCTAAAAGCATATGTTACGCTCTACCATAATGTATATATCACAAGTAAGTATGGACTGTGTTAGATTCCAAAATGCATTTGGTCTTCACCAACAAACTTCAGCAAGCATGTACAGATTTTGCTGCATGCAAGGTTGAAACCCTTAACAGCAACAGTTGACATGTAGACAAAAGAACAAAGCAATGTATCAATTCCATAGGCAGAAATGTAATTCAATTATTATTATGTTTTTACCTACATCCAATAGCCAAGTAAGCTCTGTTTTATGAACCATCCTCATTTAGAAGCACAAAAAAAGCATGCTTGGGCTTTTATTTTTCTAAATTCTCCTACCTGCCATAAGAATTCCTATTCAGGAGTAAGAGACCGTGTTACAGAGGATCAGAGAGCAACCAGCTGCTGAATGTATGCTGACTTTCAAATCCTTACCTGTGTCTTTGCTTATTACTCAACTAAATTATGAAAAGATTTAGTTAAAAAAATGTTCTGTCCTAAGTCAATAAGAAAAGCAGCCCTAGTCTATGTCCCTAGTATATCATATTAAGCTATGTATAATAAATACAGGGAAATATTTAGTAAATGTTAAAGTGTATTTATACTAATGTAAAATAAGAAAGAAACCAATATTGCCCTTAATCAGTACTATGTAGATTCTACCAGTTTGCAAATTTTGACTAAAAAATAAGATTACATTTTGTGGTTGGTATATTTTATAATATACTTGAAATTTGTTTTTGTATTTTTATATATTTTTTAAATATAAATCTTCCTCACCTATTTGCTAAGCCGCTAACCCTCTCAGCATGGCTTATACAGAATAGCAAACCACATCACATCATTCTCCTGAATGCCTTCACAAAACAGCCACATTAAAGAGTTCTAAAACATGGAGTTATGTCATGACTGAGATCATAAACTCTAGATCTGAGGTAGCAACTCATGTTTGTGTATTTTAGCCCATATTTTTACTCTCCAGTTCAAATGCATGTTTCTTTTTGCACTGCTAGTAGTTGCATGTCTATTGGGATCTGTTCAGTATTATATACATATATATATTCAATATGTCATACTGTATATGGAATGGATTGATGGTGTATATATTTTAGTGAAATGTAGACTTGGAAACATTGCTCAGTAGCTTCAGTTCTACCTTCCCTCTGTGTTAAATCAGTGTTAAATGCTGCATGCTCCTAGTGTGCTGTATTAAATCATAAGTGATATTTTTCAGGTTTATACTCTTCCTGTAGTTGATATTTCCTGTTTTATATTTCTAACCCTAACTGTATCATAAATCAAGGTATAAATAAGGGTAACAGCTGCTATTGAGTTATTCATTATTCTCTAGGTGACCCATGACTGCATTTTCTTCCATATAAGCGTTTGAAGATAGGAGAAAAGATAGGAGAATAGGAGAAAACAACCATAGTCTCTTTCAGCATTACTCTTTTTACAGCTTACCAAATGAGCAGTTTGATCCACTTGGGGAATCAGGATCCTCTAGTAGACATACTCCTGTTTTATTGTTACATGGTCCGCCACCACAGTTGCATTCTAGAAGACACAGAAAAAAACGTGATGATTATACACAAAAAGAGTAAGTTATTCTAGAACAGGAAGGACATGCACATGTTGATGATTACACATAATGTCAAACATCTGTGCACTCTAGAAACATTTCTCATCACTAATTTAAGGAGACAGTTCTACCTGAATTGCTTTAAAGTGAGTGTGTCGCCCCACACCAGTGCACTCATGGGTAACTTACCAGAGGTGAATGATCTTTATATAAGAGTGACAATAAACTCTGGAGTTAAAACGTAAAAATACATTGAAGTACCTTAACTATTGAAAAAAATGTACCTTATCTTTGCATCACTGTGGAAGAGATTATAAATGATATTCTTATAAAAACGTTCATGAAACCCTAATAAAGTTTTTACTTATTCACAGTTGCGGTGAACAGATAAAGGGTACGAACAACACTTTTTCCTGTTCGTTGGGAAACTGGCAGACTGGAGAGCAATCTACTTATCTACACCTGGGAAATGTAAGTTGCATATAACCCCTCTGATTCTCTCTTCACTTCCTTGAAGCAGAACTTTACCACCACACCACATCCTCATAACATTTTGCGAGTAGACAGGCTTTTTATTGCAGACATACAATGTCTCTTCAGCAATAAAACCTTTTTGCCTTCCTGCTTGCAAATGTTCTAAGACTACATTCTTGGCATGCCTTGGTGCTGGGTTGAATTAAATCCTGTGTGTGTGTGTACGGGAGTGGTGTCATTCTGGTCCATCAAGAATGCTGAAAATGCCAAACCCAGAAGAAGTTCAGGCAAAGATGTCAGCACCGACCAGGGAGTTTGGGGACATTGTATCACTGGAGGGCCGTTAAGTAAAGGTGGCTTTGGTTCTGATTTAAGAGCCTGTGTAAATGGATTTTTGATCACTTCAGAACTCCTTTCCTCTTCATAAAAATAAATACAAATGCAAAACTGAATTGAACATGCAAATGCAGGTCAGAAGGAGGTCAATTGCAGGCCAAATGCACCTGTCCCTGTCAATGACCCCAAAATATCTCAAACTGATCTTAAACTCAAGCTAAATGGACCCGAAAGCATGCTATATTTGCACAATGATACACACCCTTAGGCTGGTGTGATATAGACAATTTCTCATTAAAACAGACATGGTGTTTTAAGATGTGGGCTCTGTCTTGAAACACTTGTTTGAATCTTTGGAGAATTTTACTGGTGTTACAATTGAATAAAGCTCACACATAAGATACTAGGTTATTAAAAGTAGTGAAGAAAAGGTCAGGTGTGGATTTGTGAAGATATTAGTTCAAACAAGTTGAGATATCAAACATGGCAGACCAAGCTGCTGATCTCTAAATCAGATGCAGATGTTTTGCTATCTATATTTTTAACAATATATTTTTAATTATTTTATCAACTTTGATATGCAGTTTTTTTTTACACATTAGCAATAAAAGCAATTATACACTTTAAACAAAACCAATGAGTGAACTGTTACATAGTATTTGAGGTTGAATAAAGACATTAGTCCATCAAGTCCAACCTATTAGGATCTCATTCTAGGAGTACCCGTACCCCTGTATATTACGGTCCCTTAAGAAATCGTCCAAAAGTTTCTTGAACAATTCCACATTCTTTGCTGAAATCACTGTCTGTGGCAGTGAGTTCCAGACCCTAACTGATCTTACTGTGAAGAACCCCCTTCGCCCCTTGTGCTGGAATTTTTTTTCCACCAATTTTAGGTGGTGGCCTCTAGTTTTTGTAATGGAGTAAACTGTTCTAAAATAAAAAAAGTTCCCTCAGTTTATATTAATTCTGAGTTCTCTGCAATCTCCTCTATCCAGAATTCATAGAACACAGCACATTCAGTGGGAGAGAACTTCCTGAAACTTGAGCTGTGTGACCTCTTCTCTCTACTTTATGTATCACCAAGTTCAGTTTTCCAAGCATGAATCTGACTGGTGGATTTGAGAAACTTCTTAATACAGTAATGTCATTTTTTTCAAACAAAGCTTTCTGTATGTGAGTGGAAGCAAGGACCATTGGAAAGTATAGGATGCAAACTCTCCTGCATCATGGGTTGTCAGATCACCAGATAATTGACAAAGTAGATGAGGTTGAACTAGAGCACTAGAGCACAACAGCAATGCATGGATGGAAAACCAAGCACTAAACAGGTAAGGAGACCTAAAGATCTAAATGTTTGATTTTTAATTTTGACTAGAGTCAAAATTGTTTATAGTCCAATTCTATTATATTAATAATGCATAAAAAGATTCTGTTCATAACAACAGTAATCTTTTTTAGCAAGTCATTATAATTATTAGGTGCATCTGCTTTTGTTGGTGCTTTAATGTTATATTCCAGTAGGGTGACAATTTGGCTGGGGCTTGGGCAGACATACGTAAACCCCATTATGTCATATTTACCCATAGCAAAGGGAATCTGTCCTATTTAAAATTACTTGTAGGATTCAAAACTTGAGAGGGCAGTTCCAGTCAGCTCTATGCAAATATGGCTGCCTTCTAGGAAAGTTAGTTCATGCTGCTTTCAGGATGCTTTTATAATTGGGACTCTTTGCATTTACCATGAGAGTCCTACAAGACCTGCATGCATCTGGTTCCACAGTATTAAGACTAGAATATTAAAACTTGTCACCTCCTCTATCACAGTTAATTACAGATGTTACAGGCCCCCTAGATAGGGCAGCACAGGTAAGAATAATTTTGTGTCAAAACAGCATGTAATGTTTACCAGCTAGTGAAAAGCAAGCAGGCTCTCCATCAAATTTTTTGAGACATATTCTTAAGACTTATTAATGTTGAAGTCAATAACCATTTTACAGGACATTCTCTGTGTCTTGGTTTTGCAATATCAGCATATTTACATTGTTGGTCACAAATGGTCTGGCAACTGCAAACTATCAACCTGGCAGTTGCTTATTTGAACATTTTTTTTATTTGCAAATTGCACACATTTTCTAACCCTTTTCTTGCCTTTTATTCTTTTGTGAAGCTAACAACATGTTTTAAACAGATGAACATAAAAATGAAAACAGCTATGGTTTGGAAATGGGCATGCACTGATTGTTTTAAACATGACCCCTCTGAAGTGCACAATGTCCATAGCTTCAGGTTAATTTAAAAATCTTTCCAGAAATGTACAGGATATATTGCTAATTATTAATGGTGAACAGTAATATCAAGAACACATTTGAAGACCTGCAAAAGGGTTTGAAACACTGAGGCTGCAAGGTTTCTAAACATACAGTCTTTAAAAAATATATTTTTCTGATAAAAAGAAAAAAAATCTGAATTCAAGACTGAATTTCCTATACCAAAAATACAGATTGAAAATGTATAGTAATTTATACTTCTCATTACCCTGCGAACACTATTCTAAAGCAATTTTAGTGATAATATCATGCTATGTACATTTCACCAACAGGGATTGGAAAATTTGGCAGGATAGAGGTCAAGATTGATGGAGCCAAAAAGAAGTTAATTCTTTATGAAAAACTTGTTTTAACCTGACAACATTCTGAGACTGGAAAAGCTGGCCATAAACTACGCTAATTTCATCTTATTCATGCTAAGTCAGCTGAAATTCGAGCAGTGGGAGGCCCTGCATGGAAAACAGTGGAAAGGTATTCAGACAGCCGGTACATGCATAGTAATAAATGCTCCAGCATCAGAGGAAGTAATAAATGGCCCTTTGGTCATTTGGAATAACAACTGCCACTACATCAGTGGTAAGTTGAAATAAATGCCCTTGCTTCAGTTGGAATAATAATTCATCCTACATCATAGGTAAGTGGGAATAATACAGCATCAATTGGTGTAATAAATGCTCTAGTGTCAGTGGGAGTTAAATGCCCTAGCATCAGTGATCAGTAGGAGTAATAAATGCCCCGGCACTAAATGCCCCTCAGTCAATGGTCAGCTGGAGTAATAGTTCCCTGTCATTGTGGGGCAGCACAGTGGCGTAGTGGTTAGCGCTTCTGCCTTGCAGCACTGGGGGTCCCGTTTCAAATCCCAGCCAGGTCACTATCTGCAAAGAGATTGCATGTTCTCCCTGTGCTTGCGTGGGTTTCCTCCGGGTACTCCGGTTTCCTCCCACACTCCAAAGACATGCTGGTAGGTTAATTGGCTCCTCTCTAAGTTGGCTCTCTATATATGCATGAGAGATAGGGACCTTAGATTGTAAGCTCATTGAGGGCAGGGACTGACGTGAATGTGCAACTATGTAAAGTGCTGCCTAAATTGTCAGCGCTACATAAATACCTGTAATAAATTGGTCAGTGGGAGAAATGGTCCCCTGCCATTGGTGTCAGTGGAATAAGGTCCCCCTCCCCCTCCCTGGATTTGTGTTCAGTGGCATATATCTTTTTGTAGGATCCATGTCCCTCATCTCTCCTTGTAATGACATCATGGCCAGGACTATCAGGCAGGAGAGAACTTCACCCCACAGTGCTGCAGCTACAAAAATGAGTGCAGGGAGAGGCATGGGTTCATCAGAACTGTTGGCTCTGGATATTATTTGAATGTAGATGCCCTGTTGGGCTGGGTCCATCAAATGACCATGCAGTAATGCAGTGAGTGCATTACTGCATGGTCATTTATTATAGGGTTAAAAAAAGGAAAGGTATCTAATTAGCCATGGTTGCTGTAAAACGGCAGTAAACCTTGATTATATTGTATCATGTCTCTTCTCATTTACCAGCTTTACAAATATATAGTAAGCTCCTGAAAACCCGTTTATCTACATTTTTGGCTGGCTTTGAGCAATAACCCTCATACGTGTACTTAGCTTCTGTTGGCACTTACTCTGGCAGCCAGATGGCCCATAATTCCAGTATCCAGACTTGCATCTCTCACATTGCAGACCCCCTGCTCCTGGTTTGCATCTGCACTGTTGACCTATAGGATCACAGCTGTTGTCTATGGAAGCAGCACTGCATTTACACTTCTGACAACCTAAGCAACTGTCAAGGCCGTAGTATCCAATCTAGAAAAATATGGGAAGAACACGATGGTCTATTCAATATTAGATTTTACTACTTGGCATTGTACAAAACAGCATGTATTTTCCTTTATAAATACCCATCATGATTATTATAGAACTCAAAAAGAAAGCATTGAAAGAAATAACAATCAAACAAGTACTGCAAATTAATTCCAATATTACAAATAAAACTAGTACGGATGGGCAAACTCGGGCCCTCCATCTGTTGTGAAACTACAAATCCCATGAGGCATTGCAAGATTCTCACAGCCACAGGTAGTGTTTTAACACAGTAGTTTTAGCACATCTGGAGGGCCGAAGTTTGCCCAACCTTGCTTCATGCAATGCAATGGAAAATAAAAATATATTTCCGGTTTAAGGCCCTGTTTGAGTTATAAAGTAA